AGTTGAAATAAAAGATAGCAAAAAAAAAAGCGGTAAAAGGTTTTACCTATCAGCGGTAGTTGGGCCACTTCGCCTGCCGTTCATTATTGACGAACTAACAATGAAAAGAATAACTTCACTGATACTATGGCCCAATTGGCCACCAGATTATGCTTTCAAAATTGTTGAACGGCTCAAACACCTGCAGAACATCAGAACGTATAGTAACTGTTAACCAGCTAATGTAATTACGTACGACGACGAATTGGTAAGGCAACAATAGCACCTCACAGTTCAACAAAAAAAGCATTTTTATGACGAGAAGAAATAAAATTTAAAAAAAAAAAAAACAAGCAAAATAATGGTGTTGATCAAGAAGAATAATGTAGCAAACAGTGCGGTATTAAGAAACACATATATGCTCCAAGACTAATGCTATGATTACACAAAATTTCAGTGACATATCAAATTCCCAAAAGAATTTAAAACTTCATTTCCAGAAATAATGTTTCAAAATGCAAAGGCCAGAAATAAAGTGAAAAAAATAGGGAAAATATTTAAGATACTACAAGAATTGCTTTATTAAAATAAATAGCTTCCCTCTTTCAAGTTTAAAGAAAAAAAAAAAAAAAAACTCCTGATGACACGTCTTTGAATCTCCTCAACAGTGCCCTACTCTCCTCTATTATTTGCTCAACAGCTGACACATTTATGCATCTGTCTGTAGTCATGTAAATTGTCAACTCTATTTGTTTGGCTGTCTTCACTATAAAAATTTAAAAAGTATGATAACATAAGCATGGAGAAAAAAAAGCTAAAATAGTTTCCACCCCCGCCACCTCGTTCTGACATTGACAGTACCAAAGCAGAGGTTATGATAGCACAATGCGCGGTTCCAAGTGTTCAAGCACTATAATTCTTAACTAAATATGTCATATTAAACCAATGTGAGAAAAAGGTGCATAAAAATGGTCCCTTATAACGCTAGTAAAACTACAGATAAAAAAATAAAACAAAAAAAAAAAAGGTGAGATAAAAAAGCAAAAATTAAACATTAAGCGGAAAAAAACCATATCATCCAAATATTAAGCGAAAAAAATGTTATATTTCTTCTCTGCTTTTACAACAGCCAATGGTTACCAATCATCAAAAAAGTCGAAGAAAAACATCTCAGATAGCTGTTAAAGGAATCAGATGGCAAATCGACAGCAAGTTTATGCATTTTTTAAACTTGTACAAAAGTTGTAGCTGACAGTTCACGTTAACTAATTGATTGCTAAAAGACGTAAAATGTTTAAAAAAAAAAAAAAACAGGCACTATTTTAAAAATGAATATACTTATCAAATAATGTTTATTCATTCAGTGAATAACTTATCAAATTTATTCATCTTATTTGCTTCTCAAATTATACCTTAAATAAGCAAAAAGTAAAAAGTTTTAGTACATTTTTTTACCGGCCGCAATTCACTAGAATTGACCTTAAGTTCATTAAACATGTGTAAAAATAAGAAAGAAAAAAAAAGACCTATCTATACAAAAACTAACTTTAAAAAGTATTGAAGTAAAAGAATAATTGATATCGAATGCCAAAAGACACTTCATTAAGCAAATTGTCTCTAAAAAAACCAATTGAATTTGCTTTAATACTTAGCAGAACTGTAGTCTACATTACTGTAATCAAAAAAGATTATTTTTTTTTTT